TTTATTCCTTGGCTCTTTGATCTTTGAATGTTAATATAAATGGTATCTTTTTAAAATTTCACAAATTTCTTTTGCTAGTACATAGAAAGTTGATTTTTTAATATTGAACCTGTATCCAGCAACCTTACTAAATTCACTTATTTTTATGGTTTGTAAATTCGTTTGGATATTCCTCATGTATAATTAAGTCATCTGCTAATTATGCAGTTTTATTTTTTCCTTCTGTTCCTTGTAATTAAAAAAATTTTCTTATTACACAGACTAGTACATCTGTTCCCATCTGTAGAAGTGATAAAGAATACCTTTTCTCATTCTTGGTCTCTGAGAGGAAGTAATTGACCATTAAAGGTGGTGTTAGCTATAGGTATTTTGTAATTACTCTTTATAAAATCAAAAAGATTCTTTTCTTTGCTATGAATTTTTAATTAATGAGTGTTAATTAGAGAGGACACCAAAAGTACAAGTAATAAAATACAAAAAATTGATAAATTGGACTTCATTAAAATTAAACTTTGAAAAACCGTCAAGAATCATCAAAAGGTAAGCCACAGGGAGAAAATATTGAATCATATTTCTGAAAAAGGACTTGCATGCAAGATATAACTCTTACAACCCAGTAAGAATAAAATAAATTATCCATCAAAAAAATGAGCAAAAGATTTGAATAGACATTTCACTCAAGAAACTGTATGAATGGCTAATAAGCACCTTGAAAAGATGCTAACCTCATTAGTCATTAGGGAAATGCAAATTTAAAACCATAATAAATACCACTTCATGTCCACTAAAATGGCTATGATAAAAGGGCAGACTAGTGTTGGTGACCTTGTAGGACAATAGAGACCCTTAGGCATTACTGATAGGAATGTAAAGTGGTGCAGCCACTACGGAAAACAGTGGCAGGTTTTTCTCCTTCTTTTCTTTTTTAAGTTAAATAGAAATTTACAATATAGCCCAGCAATTTCACTCTATCCAAGACAAGTGAAAAAATTTCTCTACACAAAGACTTGTATGCAGACGTTCATGGTAGTATTTTTCATAATAGCCAAAAAAGTAGAAACAACCCAAATGTCCATCAACCAATGAATGGATAAACAAAATGTCTGTCCCTACAATGAAATACTATTTGGTAATAAAAAGATAAAAAATACTGATTCATCTTTATATCATGGATGAACCTGAAAAACACTACACTGTGTGAAAGAAAGAAACAGAAGACCATATATTATATGAGTTTATTTGTATGAAATGTTCAGAAAAGGCAAAGTTATAGGAAAATATCAGTAGATTAGTTTGGGGCTAGAAGTGAGAACAGGGAGTGACTGCATATGGGTGTGAGGGACCTTTTCTGTGATAATGGAAATGTTCTAAAACTGGGTTGTGGTGATGGTTGTACAACTCTGTAAATTTACTTAAAAAATATTGAATTGTGTATTTTAAATGACTGAATTTTATTTTATGTAAATTATACCTCAGTGAAGATGTTAAAGAATGAGTGTTGAATTTTATCAACTACTTTTCTGACCCTACTGAAAATTTATGTTTTTCACCTTTCTCAATTACATAAATTTAAAAATTTCATAAATTAAAAAAATTAATATTAAAAATGTAAGTCCAGTCATAAATCTTGACTGAGTATAAATTGGTCTTGATATATTTTATTTATGTTACTACTAGGTATGATACACTGATACTTTGTTTAGGATTTTTTGAGACTTTATTTATGAGAAAAATTGGCCCGTCATGTTTTTTTCTTACAATGTTCTGTTCAAGTTTTTGTTTTGCTGTTCTCCATGTCAGCATTTTTAAGATTGATGGTAAATGTTTTTCATTATATGTTTGGAAGAATTTACTATTGGAGCCATATGGGCATGCAGTTTTCTTTGTAGGAAAGTTTTTAATTACATATTCAATTTCTTTAATATGTATTTGTGTTTTCAGATTTTCTATTTCTTTGTCAGTTTTAATAAGTTGTGTTTTCCTAGGAATTTGTTCATTTCCTGTCGTTTTTCAAATCCTTTGGGCCAAAGTTTTTAATAATATTGTTTTATTGTCTGTAAAATCCTTAGTATTACCCTCCTTTTCATTCTCTATTGGGACTTGTGCCTTCTCTGATTATCTATGATGAGTCTTGCTAAAAGGTCTATTATTTATTTTAGTTTTTTTTCAAAGAACCAACTATTTTGATTTTCTCTCACACATTTGTTTTCTATTTAAAAGTTTTTTTTTGCTCCAGTTTCTACTTTGGGATTAATTTTTTCCGATTTTTTATTTCTTGATAGGAATATTTGAAAGGATATTTGACTGCTTGCTTTATCAGTTACTGTGAAAAGTCTGTTAAAATCCACTGTGGTTGTAGACTTGGCAGTTTTTCATTTTAGTTCTGTTAGTTTTTGCTTTATGTATTTTGGGGCTGTCTTTTTTATGTATGCCAATTTAGAATTCTTATGGCTTTTTTAATGGATCATCATATTTATTATTATAAAATAACCCTCTAGTTTGAGTGATGTTTCTTGCCTTACTTCTCTTTTGTCAGAGATGAAGATAACTTTACAAGTTTTCTTTTGCTTAATGTTTGCAAGTTTTTTACCCTTTTAGCCAGTCTGTGCCCTTATATTTTAAGACGTATCACTTGTAAGGAGTATAAAATAAGCTTTAAAACTCTACTCTCATAATCTGCTTGAAGAATTCCCTGTAGCGTTTATTTTCACGTGGGTCTGCTGGTGACAAATTGTTGTTTGTGGGTGTGTGTGTCTGTGAGTGGGTGTATAAAATGTCTTTATTTCACCATCATTTTGAAGGATAGGTTTGATTTGTTTGGAATTCCAGATTGGCAGTTATTTTCTTTCTTCACTTTAAAGATACTCATTTTCTGTCTCATACCATTGTGTGGATAAAGCTGCATTCCATAAGGAGACACATCTTCTACACTTCTCTGCTGGGACTAGTGTGCAGTTAATGGGCCACACGTGTTAAGAGCAAACCTTGATTCCCTTTAGGTCCTGGCATGGCTTCCAGCAGCCTAGTCTCTTTAACCTGAGTGTGGTTTTCAAAGCCTGCTGTGTGGTCACAGGGGCAGAATGTTGGTGAAAGCCCCCTATTGGAGCTCTAGTTAGAGCTGTGTTAGAGGGTACCCTAATGGTGCCCTGAGGCCAGAGGACGTGATGGATCCCATGATAGAGTTACAGGGGCTCCTTCAGGACCACCTCATCCAGAGTCCCTATGTGTCCCATCAGCTTTCAGTTCCTCATTGCTTTGGCTCCTCTTTCGTCTATTGCCTTCCCCCATACCACACTACACTACATTTAGCTACTTTTATTAACCTATATGTGTTAGCTAACATGCACTAGGCAACATTTTATATTCTCAATTTAAAATTATATTCTTAATGTTAAATGACAGTGAGTTGAAACATTATTTCTTTAACAAATACATCCTACTAGTTTAGAATTCTTTTGACACTACTAACATTTTTCTTCCATGCTAAATTTTAATTCTCCATGGAAAAAATTATGAAGACATGTATCAGACATCCAAAAATCATGACTACCTACCATATTGAGTACCCACCACTTAACTTAAGCAACACAGTATTACAAATAAGATTGAAGTTCTCTGTGTCTATTGCCAATCACATCTCTCTCCCTCCCCCACAGAGGTCACCACCAATTGAATTTGGAATTTATCATTTCTATGTATGTTTTATATCCCTACATAGCATTCTTCTTTTAAAAACTTATTTAAATGGTTATTATCCTGTGTATCTTTCAGTAATTATATATAATGATAAATATATATTGTATTTATTTATATAATTATAAATCCTGCAACATCATTAGATTTATCCATATTTATACTCTAATTCCTTCATTTTCATGCTGCACATATAACATTTTGTTGTATAAATATGTCCCAGTTTTATTATTAATCCTTTTAGTGGATATTTAGGTTTTTTCCACTTTTCTGCTATTTTTATACATGTTGTATTGAATGTTGTATGTATTTCCTTGGGCATATATTTGAGAGATTTTCTAGGGTATATATACCTAAGAACTGATGGGTTGTAGGATATGTGTTTTGTCAACTGCAGTTGTCACTTCCACAGGAAGTATATGGGCTCAGAATCAGCTGCTACTTGATGTTACATCTAGTCATGATCAATTTATAATGGGCTAATAAGAAAATAAGTAGCTGAGTATATACTATCTATGCTGTAATTTTACTTTGTTTTTTGTTTATTTATTTTAATGGGGATACCTTTTCTCAGTGAGTTTAATTTTATTAAAAAGAAGGTCTTTGTTGAGCCACAGAGTAAACAGTTTAATCCCTTAAGGAATTCCTTATGTTTATTTTTATCTGTTCCAAAGTTATGATTCTGTGATAAAGTCATAATTATGAAATTGTCTATTTGCATATACTTTCAAGCCAGTGATTCTCAAATGTGATCTGCAGTCACCAGGGTGGGCATCCATGAAGTCACAATGATTTTCATAGCAGGAAGGTGTGATTTGCCCTTTTCATTGGGTTGGCATTTGCACTGATGGGACAGCAGCAGTGGTGGATAGAACAGCCAGCATCTTTTCAAGAACCAAGAAAGTGGCATCAGTCTGTAATCATTTATGTTAACAGGAATGGGTTTATTTGTATTATTCAATGAAAAAATAAATATTTTAAAAATTTTGTTTCATTTTCTAATAGAATAACTATTGGTAGATATATATAATGTTAACAATGCCTCCTTCTCTAAGAGTATAAAGGGGTTCTGAGACCATGAAGTTTGAGAAGCATTACTTTAAGCACATGGTAGATACATGAACAAACAAATATTATATTCAATCTGGTGCTGGTCTTTGGGAAGGAAAACTTAGATACTGTAATTCCTTTGATAGATAAATCTAGTCTGTCTTCAAGTTATATATAAATCTTAAGTAAATGTTCAGTTTGTTGCCTTAAAATTTTGTTTATAACTAGATTATATTTGTAAATAAAATACTTTGCAGGTGCTGACCTTAAGGAAAGAGTCAAAATGAATTCCAGTGAAGTTGGTCCTTTTGTCTCCAAAATAAGAGCAGTGATTAATGAAATCGGTAAGCACAATTAAATTCTCCTTTTAGCATGCTGAAGGTGACCTTAAATGTCAGATTTTAAAAGTTGCACATTGTCTTTATGTATAAGCTTTGGCTAAAATATTTATATAGTTAGATAGTCATGACCTATAGTTGGTTGTAAAACAGCATGTAATATATTTAATTTGAAAAGTTGTGAAAATTTTTTTTATAATTAAAGATGCCTCCTATTTATGATGACATGGCATATAGAGGTAATTATTAGAAAACAAAGAATAATTTGGCATAAGCCTTTGACATAAGTATTTATATTTCTTAAATAGTTGCATACACAGACATATTTATAGATTGGGATTTTTTTTTGTTTTTTACATAAACGGGATCATACTATCTCCTTAGAATTATAAATTTCTGTGTAGTGTTTATATTTCAGTATATATCAATTTATTATTAATACTCTTTAATACATTACTACATAGTAATCCATAGCATAGTTTATCCAAAATTTGAAACTATTTCTTCATTAATGAACACTTAGGATGTTTTTATTGTTTTGTTTTTGTGGGGTTTTGCCATTTTTGTTATTTATAATAAAGCAGTGATTATCTTTGTACAAAGTCTTTTAGAACATTAGTATGTATATTTATAAGATTGCTAAACATGGTATTGCAGTTCTAAGTATCATGTGTTCATTTTACATTTTAATAAATCCTACCAGATTATGTTGCAAAAAGATGGTAATAATTTATATTCCCATCAATCACATGACAGTACCTGTTTCCTTATAGTCTTGTAGCATTTAATGTTGTTATTTTTTAAGTTTGCCAGAGTTGAAGAAAAAAATAATCTTAGCATTTTAATTTTCACTTTCTCAGATGCTAGTATATCTTTTCAGATTAGACTTGCTTTTCCCCTCCTGTAAATTGCCTTTTCACATTCTTTATCCTCTTTTCTATAGCATTATTTAATAACTATTTACCTAAAGCCAATTTTGTATTAATCTTTTGTTGTTAAATTTATTACAGGTATTGCCTCTTAATGTTCCACCCTAATTCACTTCTAGGAGCTTTAATATCTAGAGGGTACAAAGTTCCCATCATTATTATTTTTCTTTTTTCCTTGAAGATTTTCTTTGCTAATTCTCACACATCAACTCTTCCAAATGAGTTTAGAATTATTAATTTTAAAGTGAAGAAGAAAAATACTCTTATGAGACTTCGATTGGAATTTCTATAAATCTTGTTTATAAAGAATTGACATTTTTATGATACTAAATCTTTCCATCCATGATATGCATGGCTCTTATTTTGAGGGGGTGGTCATTCATTTTTTAATGTTCGTCAAAGAAGTTTTCTTCACATTGGCTTTGTCTTGTATCTTTTTTCCCCCTCAGATTTATCCCTAGCTATTTTATAGCATTTATTCCTTTGAATGGGATCTTTTCACCGTACTTCTGATGAAGTCTGGTTATTGTTGTAGGTCCGTAGGAAATTTGGTAAATTTTATGTGCTTGTACTTGTATAAGCCATTGTTTTTTCTCAATTAATTTTCTTGTGTTTTCCAGAAAGCAAAAAAAGTTCATTATATATAAAAAATGCAATTTTAATCTCTCCTGTTTCCAGCATTTTAATCTTAACATATTTTTCATATATTCTCACATTGGCTAAGGTTCTTGGTACAATATTCAGCTGTTGAAGGGATCATGTTCATCCTTACCTTTATTTGAGTTTAATGAATGCTTTTAATATTTTGCCGATAAATATCAAGTTCAGAGAGTTTTCTACTATTTCAACTTCTTTAGGAGTTTGCTACTCTTTTCTAATCGAGAATAAGGGTTAAAGTTTGTCAGCTGCCTTTTTGTTATGTGTCAGGATGGTATATATTAAAATTTGTCTCAGATTTTATTATACTGAATTGTATTAATAGTCTTACTGATGCTGCACTGGCCTTGTATTAGTAGAATAAACACTACCTGGTCATTGTGGTTCGTGGTTATGGTGGTTTTTAATATATACTGCTGGCTTTAATTTTATATATTTTGATATAAACATAAACGAGATGGGAATCTTCTAATTTTGTTTTTTGTGTTACCCTTTCTGGTTTGGTATCATGTTTATACAACCTTCATAGAATGAAGTGAAAAGTTTTTCACCTTTTTCTGTACTATACAGGGAAATCATCTGTTATTTGAAAGATTAGAATTTGACCATGTGGCATCTTTTGGGGTCTTGTGTGGTTTTGTTATTGTTGTTTCCTTTTTTTTTTAGAGCTAAGTTTTTAAAAAATATATGTGTTTTGGTTTCTAGAATGTTTCTTGTCACCTTCATGACTTTTGTTTATCCTCTGCCAGTGTTATTGAAGACTCTCCTCTGCTTCTCTCTCCAGCTTCAACCATATGGTGAGATAGATGTCTTCTGAGGCAGAGCATGGATTTGGTTTCCATGTTGGTCAAAGAACTTGATCTTGGAAGTAGAAGTTGATGCTATCTGTAACTCTCTATATATGCTGGGATGAATGGCTAAGACTGGTTCAGTTATAAACATTACGTTGATGTTTGTTCCCAGCCTCTTTCTATTTTATTGAATCTGAAATTGGAATTTTTCTGATGCTTTTTAAATGAAGAACTACTTTTTTTGTAGTAGATTTTTCTTTTCACTGGTTGAAGCTGTACTATTTCTGTTCTGGATCCTGATCCAGTACTCTTTTTCCTATTCCATGAGTTCCCTAATATTAGGTAATGATACTTTTCACTACAGCATTACAATGGACATAAAATTTTTAAGATGTCTTTGGTGGTGACTTAGTGAGACTTTGAAGGGCAGGTAAAAACTGTCTTGATCAAATTTGTTCGTTTAGTACATTAAACCAGGGGCTAGGAAACTTTTTCTTAAAGGGACAGATAGCAGATATTTTCGGCTTTGCAGGGGTATTATGGTCTCTATTGCAGTAACTCAACTTTTCTTTTTTTTAAAGACTTTATTTTTCAGGAGTAGTTTTAGGTTCACATCAAAATTTAGGGGTGGGTAAAGAGATTTCTCATATATCCCCTGCCACCACAATATGCATAGTCTCCCCCCCCCCATTATTAATATCTCACACCAGAGAGGCACATTGGTTACAGTTGATGAACTTATGTTGACACATTATAATTACCCAAGTCCATAGTTTATGTTAGGGTTCACTCTTGGTGTTTTACATTCCATGGGTTTGAACAAATGTAAAATGACATGTACCCATCATTATAGTGTTGTCCAGAGTGTTTTCACTGCCCTAAAAATCCTCTGTGCTTGACTTATCCGTCCCTTCTGCCCTCTCTGGCAACCATGTTTTACTTTCTCCATATTTTTCCATCATATAGTTGGAATCATGTAATATGTAGCTTTTTCAGATTGGCTTCTTTCACTTAGTAACATGCATTAAAGTTTTCTCCATGTCGTTTCATGCCTTGATAGCTCATTTCTTTTTATTGATGAACAATATTCCACTGTATAGATGTATCACAGTTTCTCCATTTACCTACTGAAGGACACCTTGGTTGCTTCCAGGTGTTTGCGACTATGAATAAAGCTGCTATATACATCTGTGTGCAGATTTTTGAGTGGACGTGTTTTCAACTCCTTTGGGTAACTACCAAGGAGCACGATTGCTGGATCATGTGGTAAGAGTCTGTTTAATTTTATAGGAATTTGCCGAACTGTCTTCCTAAGTGGCTGTACCATTTTGCCTTCCTACCAGCAGTAAATGAGTTTCTGTTCTGTTGCTCTACATCCTTGCCAGCATTTGGCGTTGTCAGTCTTCCAGATTTTGGCTATTCTAATAGGTGTGTAGTGGTAGATCGTAGTTGATTTAATTTGCATTTCCGTGATGACATATGACGTGGAGTGTCTTTTCATAGGCTTATTTACCATCTGTATATATTCTTTGGTGAGGTGTTTATTAAGGTCTTTGGCTCAGTTTTTAATTGGATTGTTTTCTTATTGTTGAGTTTTAAGAGTTCTTTGTATATTTTAGATAATATTCCTTTATCAGGTATGTCTTTTGCAAATACTTTGTCCTAATCTATTGCTTGTCTTCTCATTCTCTTGACGTTATCTTTCGTAGTGCAGAAGTTTTTTATTTTATTAGGGTCAAACTTATCCATTATTTCTTTCATGGATTGTGCCTTTGGTGTTGTATTTAAAGAGTCATTGTCATACCCAAGGTTTCTAGGTTTTCTCCTATGTTATCTTATAGGGGTTTGATGGTTTTGTGCTTTACAGTTAGATCTGTGATCCATTTTAAGTTAATTGTTGTGGGGTGTAGGTCTGTGTCTAGATTCATGTTTTTGCCTCTGGATGTCCAGTTGTTTCAGCACTATTTGTTGAAAGGACTATCAGTGTTCCATTATATTACCTTTATTCCTTTGTCAAAGATCAGTTGACTGTGTTTATGCAATCTGTTTCTGTGTTCTGTTCCTTTATTTATTTGTCTATTCTTTTGCCAGTAACCGCACTGTCTTCAATTACTGTAGCTTTATAGTGACTCTTGACATTGGTTGCTGTCAGTCCTCCAATTTTGTTCTCTTTCAATATTGTGTTGGTTATTCTGGCTCTTTTGCCTCTCCATATAAATTTTAGAATCAGTTTGTGAATATCCACAAAATAACTTGCTGTGCTTTTGATTGAGAATTGCATTGCATAGATTAAATTGGGAAGAATATACATCTTGACAATATCGAGTTTTCCTATCCATGAACACAGAATTTCTTCTCTCTATTTAGTTCTTCCTTGATTTCAAGCATTAGTTTAATTTCCTCATATAGATCTTGTACATATTTTGTTAGATTTATATCTTAAGTATTTCATTATTTGGGGTCTTAGTGTAAGTGATATTGTGTCTTTAATTTCAAATTCCACTTGTTCGTTGTTGGTATATAAAAGAATGATTGACTTATTGTATATTTACCCTGTGTCCTGCAACCTTGGTATAATTGCTTATTTGTTCCAGGAATGTTTTTGTTAATTCTTTCAGGTTTCTGCACA